GAACTCGGGTCCTTGCGCTTGCGCAGCAGAGCCTGTCATTTTTAAAAAATGTGTTTCACTGGATGGATTTCAAGGGTGACCTGTTGGTGCTGAGTGAAGTCAGAGAAGAACTTCGAGCAGTGTTTGAAGTTTGGACAAGTTAAGAATCTCCTCCTGTTCCACAGATAGCCAGATGGTGTGGCCCCTGTGTCCTTTAAGGACCTGGAGGAAGTTGGTTATTGTATTCACGCCCTTATGCAAGCAGTTTGGTGGTTGACGGATCACCGCCCAAACCTGGGATGCGACCACGGATTATCAGGTGGAAAAGACCTGGAGAGAAAGGGAGGAGAGGAGGCATTCCTCACTGTCCCCAGGCCACCAAGGAGGCCATCAGCGCTCAGCGTCCTCTGGTGCTTCAGGAAGGGCAAGGCGCTGTGCAGAGAATCCAAGCATATGGAATGTGACTGACCAGGAAGCTGCCACTGGAGCCTTGTTTGGAGAGCTGTTGATGAGGAGCTCGAGAAGACAGACTGGGCAGACTTTGAAGAAAATGGTGCTAGAAACGATACTAAGGGAGGTGAGGCTGAAAAGGAGATCAGAGGGTTGCCCAGAAATAGTCTGAAGAGGATCATCCTAAAAAGAGTTAAAAGCCAGGGGTGGTGGCACATGCCTGTAATCCTAGCACTCAGGAGTCTGAGGCAGGAGGATCGCTGGTAGTTTGAAGCCAGCTGAACTTCATAGAGAGACCTTGGAGAGAGAGGGAGAGAGAGAGAGAGAGAAGAAAATGACATGGAGAATTCCGAATTTGATGAGAGCTCTGAAAGCAGGTTAGACAACGAAGGTGCTGAGAGTCTGACAAAGATTCGGGTGAAAAAGTACAAAGCTCTAAGTTCAATCCCAGCACTGCAAAAAAAGAAAAAGAAAGGGATGTACGGATACCTTCAACTTTGAAATGCATGATAAAAAGATGGGTGGATGGGTAAAAGGATGGATAGGTGTGTAAAAATACAGCAGAATATTAGTTGTAGAACGACGGTGGTATGGGTGGTCACACAGTACAAGTGCAGTGTCCTATGCCTGTAGTCCCAGCTGCTGGAAAGGCTGAGGCAAGACGAAGGCTTTAGCCCAGGAATTGGATATCAGCCTGGACAACACAGTAAGACTCCACCTGAAAAATAAAAAATAAAAATGAAGCCGGGCATGGTGGTGCACACCTGTAATCCCAGCACTCTGGGAGGCTAAACTAAGGCAGGAGGGTCACAAGTTTGAGCCCAGCTTGGTCAACGTAGTAATTTAGCAAGATCTGTCTCAAAAAAACCCACAAAAACTTCGGGAATGTAGCTCAGTGGTGAAGCCTTGGGTTCAACCCCCAATACCGAAAAGTAAGAAAGGTTGAGATTTAATTCACTAACTGTATAATGTAACCATTCAAAGCATGCAATTCGATGGCTTTTAGTACAATCACATGGTTGTAAGTGGCTCCCTGGGTTCAATCCCCAGTGTATGTGGGGCGGAGGGTGCTGAAGACACCCTTTCTGGCCTCAGGATTCCTTCCTCCTTCCTGGGCCTCAGCTGGATGAGATAGGCCAAAGACCCTACACTGGGTCTGCCCTGCCTCTCCTCACCACGCCCACCTACCTGCCAGATGGGGTACCTTCCGCTCCGCCATAAACCTCCCTCCTTCAGTGCCTGATTGGTACAACCCAAACTCCTGCGCTTTGAGCCAATGAAAAATACTCCCGGACACGCCCCCGCCTCTGATTGGCTTCGGAATTTAAAGATCCGGCCGGTGATAGGGTGACTTTCTCTCCCTAGCATTTGAAAATTCCTAGTTAGGTTTGCAGCTTCGCCCGGCCACTAGCTCTGGTCGCCTTATACATCAGGGTGCCAGCACGAGTGTCTGTCAGAATCCCGGGTGGGAAGAGGACAGAAGGGCCCCCGCCAGGAGAGTACAGACTGGTGAGCCAGCCGGGGAGACAAGGATTCATTCCCGAGCCACTTGGAGGAGAGAAGCGCCAGGGCGTTGGAACCACACTGAGCCTCATACACTCTGGCCATGGGGCTGACAGAAGGCGACTGAGCTCGCCTAGTCCATGTTTGCACTTCTGCAAACCTGCCTGGCCACGCAGAAACCACTGAACGTACCTGGAAACAGAGGCGCTTATTTATTTTGAGAAAAGGTCTCTAAACCGCTAAATTGCCCAGGCTGGGCTTGAGCTTGCGATCATACTGCTTCCGCCTCCGAGAGAGGTGAAGTTCCAGGCATGCACCACTACCTTGGGTTAGAGTGGGTTTGGGATTAGCCCCGGAGCCCCTTTAGCGTCTCTGCGGTTTCCTGGGTCACGGAGACCGCCCGCAGGACCTGGCTCCCCACGGCGCCTGCACCCTCACCACTCCCGCATCTCCCCGCCCCTGCGCTCAGGTCTCTTCGCCGGCGGCGGAGGCGGTGGCGATGCTCGCGGGCACCGAGGAGGCAGCGGCGAAACCCGAGGACGCGGAGCTGCGGTGCCGCGTGGCCGTGGAGGAGCTAAGCCCGGGCGGGCAGCCGCGGAGGCGCGAGGCCCTCCGCAGCGCGGAGCTGAGCCTTGGCCGAAACGAGCGCCGAGAGCTGGTTCTCCGGCTGCGCGCAGCGGGCCCCGCCGGGCGATCGCGTTGCTTCCCCCTTCGAGCCGCGCGCCTCTTCACGCGCTTCGCGACGACTGGGCGCAGCGCGCTGCGGCTCTCCAACCCCGGCGCCCCACGAGCCGGCGCCACGCAGCTGCTGCTCTCCGACTGCCCCCCAGAGCGCCTGCGCCGCTTCCTGCGCACGCTGCGCCTTAAGCTGGCTGCCGCCCCGGGACCCGCTCCAGCCTCCGCGCGTGCGCAGCTGCTCGGCCCACGGCCCAGCGACTTCGTCTCCGTCAGCCCGGTGCAGCCCGAGGAGCTGCGGCGCGCGGCCGCCACGCGCGCTTCCAAGAAGCCGCTGACAGAACAGCCGGCCCCGGCCGAAGCCAGCACGGTGAGTACAGAAAGGGGTGCCTTTGAAGTGGTGCACCCTGCTTTCCATCCTCGAAGGTGGAAGAAGCCAGCTGCAGAGGTGCCCTGGGACATCTGAGTGTGACAGGAATGTGGGAGTCGCCACTACTTCCTTCTCCTTTTGTAATCCCTGAGTCTGCCAAGGGAGAACAGGAAATGAAGGTCTGGAGGATTTTATAAAGCCTAGGTTGGGCTCAAACTTGCACTCTTCCTGCCTCAGCCGCTTATGTTGGGATTAGGGGTGGGTGCCACCATGGTGTCAAATGACAAGTTTGTGATAGGAAGGGAAGTGAGAAGG